CATGCGAGAGCTGCCGTGTCAGGGTGCCGTCCACTAGCGTGTGCATGCCCACTTGCTGCTGCTGCTGCTGCTGTTGTTGCTGCTGCTCCAGTCCCAATGAGCTGCAGCAGCAGCAACTAGAAGCGCTGCCGCACGTTGTGCAAGTTGCTGTGGGCGACTCTTCGTGCTGTAGCTGCTGCTGCTGCTGCTGCTGCTGGGAGTTCGTGGCTGCTGTGGATGGTGAACAGGAAAAGTCATAGAAAGAGGCAGGAGAGAGTTGCTGCTGCTGCTGCTGCTGCTCCTCTGAAGACAGCAGCAAGGCCTGCGCCCCTGGCCCCTCACATGACCAATGGTCACCTCGGCTAGCAGGCCAGTCCTCGCAGCTCGAGTCTGCTGCAGTGGTGTTCGTCATTACCTTTCTCTTGTGCACAGGCAGCAGCAGCGACTCCTGCATGCCGCTGCTGCTGCTGCTGCTGCTGCTGTCTTCCTGCTGTTGCGCTTGCTGCGCGCTGCTGTAGCAGCCCTGGCCAGCTCCTGCATCCGCCTCTGTCACAAAGAAGCTGTTTGCTGTTTGCTGCTGCTGCTGCTGTTGCTGCTGCTGCCGGTGCGAGCAAACACATGGCTGGTTACCGCAGCAGCAACCGCCGGGAGTGAACGGCTGCTGCTGCTGCTGCTGCTGCTGCTGCTGCTGTTCCTGCTGCTGCTGCTGCGGTCTTTGTGCTGCCAGGGGCTCTACGAGGCGCCGTCGCCTCGTGCGGATTCTCTTCGTGGATAAGAGGGACTGCTGAAGGGCCCCGGTTTCTGTTTGTTGGCTCTCTAGAGACAAAGGAGGGGCCCCCTGCCCCTCAAGCAGCATCTGCTGCTGCTGCTGCTGCTGTTGTTGCTGCTGCTGTTGCTGCTGCTGCTGATGGTTAGAAGGCGTGTGCTGATCAAGGTGCGTTGGCTGCAGAGGAGAAGAACAGCCACTCGCGCAGGATGACATAGGGAGAGGGGAGAGCTGTTCAAAGCGGTGGAGCTCAAGCTGCTGCTGCTGCTGCTGCTGCTGNAGCAGCAGCAGCAGCAGCAGCAGCAGCAGCTGACGCAGAAGTAGTAGTAGGATGAGGAGGAGGTTGGTCCCCATGCAGGAGAACGTCCTCGTCTAGCCGCAGCAAACCATCGGCTGCTTCCCCTCTATGTTGTCTTAGCATTTCTGCTTCAAAGGCACAGCAGCAAGTGCTGGTGCTGCTGCGGCAGCTGTAGGCACCGCTACCGCTGCATCGCTGCTGGCAGCAATCCTGTGCTGCTGGTGTTGCTGCTGCATCTGTATCTTCTGCTGTGCTGCAGCTGGGCAGGTCCCCCCGCAGGGGCCCCTCGCTGCAGTTGAGGGGGCTCGGAGCTGTCGTTAGTCTTGCTGCATCGCATATTAAGCTGCTAGGCAGCTGCAGCAGCAGGGCCCCCATGCCTGCTGCTGCAGGCCGCCGCTCATGTCCTGGGGGGCCCCCGGTGTCTGTACACCGCGCGGGGGGCCCCCAGCAGTCCCGAGGCACCCAGCTATCCTCTGGGGGCCCCCACAGCTGGGCGCCCCCGCTGCTGTCTGCTGCTGCTGCTGCTGCTGCTGCTAAAGGGCTGCTTGCAGCTTCCTGCAGAGCCAGACAAGGCACACAACCACTGCTCAATAGACACTGCATTTCTTCACTAGCAGACACAGGCAAAGGGCCCCACACCTCACAACCAATGTTGTTGCTGCCGTTGCTGCTGCAGCTGCTGCTGCAGTTGCTGCTGCAGTTGCTGCTGCAGCTGTTGCTGCAGTTGTTGTTGCTGCAGCTGCTGCTGCCGCAGCTGTTGTTGCCGCAACAACTGCTGCTGGAGCCGTAGTAGAAACAGCAGCAGCAACAGGCTGAAGGGGACTCCGTTGCTGCAGCAGCGCAACGCTGCAGCTCTGCTGGTGAACCGCTTGCTGCCGCAGCAGCTGCTGCTGCTGCTGCAGCTGTTTCGAGCTCTTCCGACTTTGGGGGAGCCGCACAGGAGAAAGCAGCAGCAGCAGCAGCAGCAGTAGGGGGAAAGAAAGAAGGAGATGCATCGCAGCGAAGCCGCAGCAGCTGAGCGTACGCAGCACATCTGCTGCAGGCCAAATCTCCTGCTGCAGCAAAGCAGCAAGACTGCTGCGAGAAGGGCTCTGCTGCAGCATCATCGCAGCAGCTGCTGCTGACGCCGCTGCAGCTGCAGCAGCCGCCGGCCTGACAGGGATCCATCAGGCCTGAAGGTAGGCACGGAGGCGAATGCAGCAGCTGAGGCAGCATACTGGTTTGCGGTGTATGTACACCCGATACTGCCTCTACTGCAGCACCAACAGCAGCACCCCACGCAGCACACAGCACAAGGAGCCGCGTACAACCACAGCACCGACCGAAGGAATACTGCTGTTGCAGTGCTGCTGAGGCTGCTGATGCCGTTGCTGATGGTGCAGTGCTGCTGCTGCAGTGCTGCTGCTGCTGCTGCAGAGCTGCTACTGCAGTGCCGCTACTGCTGCTGCTGCTGCTGCTGGGACTGGACGGGGGGCCGGGGGGCAAGGGGGCCGCCGTAGCGCCGCGAGCAGCAGCAGCTGAAGGCCTAGGGAGTCATCAATTGCAAATAATAGAAAATACAGAAAACCAACAAACCTCCTGAGGCGGGGGTTATCACCGCTCCAGGGTCTATTATGCTTCAGTCTCTTGGCAGGGGGGTGCTGCTGATGCTGCTGCTGCTGATGCTGCTGTTGCTGCTGCTGTTGCTGCAGTCTTCTTCTTGCTTCATTAAAACGGATAAAGAGCAGCAGAAAAATACGCGTGCGTGCAGCAGCAGCAGCAGCTGCTGCTGCTGCTGCTGCTGGCACCGCGTGCTTCCTCCGACTGCCCCTGTCGGCTGCGGCGCCCCCTCAAGCAGAGCAGCAGCAGCAGCAGCAGCAGCAGCAGCACACACTTGCAGCAAGGTCTAAATCCCAACCACCAATGGCGTAGACAAGTCCAACACACGACGGGATCCTTACAAAGACAAGGGGCGGCGAGGAGGAGATGAATGGGGGCTAGCGCCGCTGCAGCAGCAGCAGCAGCACGACGCCCGGGTCGAGCAGCAACGGCAGCAGCAGCAGCAGGCTGCTGCGGGGTGTAGAGCCACAGACACGGGAGAAAATAAGACAATTTGACTCTTTCATCAACTAGGAGTTACGTGTTTAAGCACCTGAGTGGAGGGGACTGCTGCTCCTGCTGCTGCTTGTGCCGCCAGCAGCAACTCTAGCAGCACAGGCGCAGCAGCAGCAGCAACAGCAGCAAGTGTCCTGCTGCAGCAGCAGAGAAAAAGGGAGCATCCAGAGAGCAGGCTGACTCCTGTCTTGAGGACTAGACGAAGGTAAAAACCCAACAAAAACTCCTGGTGTGCTGCTGCACGCTGCCCAGCAGCAGCAGCAGCTGCTGCTGCTGCGCCGCCTGTTGCGTGGCTGCTGCGGTGGCAGCGGCGCTGCAGCAGCTGCAGCAGCAGCTGCTGCTTACAACGCAGTAATACTACACACGAGAGCAGAAGATCGTTAATTGAGGACTTTTTGACTCGTTCTAGTATATATAAAAACAAACAAATACATAAAAACAAGAAAAACACAGAGACACTCTGCTGCTGCTCGGTACAGCAGTGCACCCAGACTAGGGACCTGCTGCTGTATACATACACCCCAATGTGGGGTCGCTTCCTCTCTAGTCATTAATTGCCCCCGACCCATTTATATTAAATTAATTAAATAAGAATACAATGCAACACATATGGTTAGTCTAATCGAGCGGAAACGCACACAATCCACAGACACACGCTGCTGCTGCTGCTGCTGCCCAGCCAGCAACAGCAGCAGCAGCAGCAGCTACAGCAGCATCAGCAGCTGCAGCAGCTGTAGGAGAGCGTGCTGCTGCTGCCCAGCGCAGGGCCCTCAAGGGTCCCAGGGGGCCCCTGCACACTGATGAAAATGTCTCTGCCTCAATAACAAAAAAATTAATTTTTATTTATTATTTCACAAGAAGATTCCCATCGTCCCGCTGCTGCAGGAGGAAAGACACCCCAAAAGGCCGCTAGAGGGAATTGAGGCCCTAGACCCTAAACCCTAAACCCTAAACCCTAAACCCTAAAACATAAACCGTAAACCCTAAACCCTAGGGCTCTCGGTAAACCCTAAACCCTAAACCCTAGGCCTGTTGGCTCCTTCTTCCCACTGGCTGGGCCCTTGAAGGTCTCTCAGGGTCCACAGGCCACCGCCTCTACGATGCTGCTGCACGTAGGGAGGCATCATCTCCAACGATGTAGAGACAGCAGCAGCAGCAGCAGCATCAATAGCAGCAACAGTAGCAGGAATAGCTACAGCAGCAGCAGCAGCAGCAGCGGCTCAACATCTGCCTGGGGACTTCTACCAGTGCCCCCCCACATACGCCAGCGGGATGACGACATCAGCGCAGCAGCAGCCGCAGGAGCTGCTCTCCCCTCTGCAGCAGCAGCCGCGTCAGCTGCAGCAGCAAGAATTTTCCTCTAACCGCACAGCAGCAGCAAGACAACTCCCCAGCTCCTTTGAGCTGTTCATCAGTGCTGCTGTCAGCGGGTTAATTACAAAGACGGTCTGCGCCCCTATGGACCGCCTGCGGTTGCTCTACCAGGTACAAGGCATGCTGCAGCAGCAGCAGCAGCAGCAGCAGCAACAGCAGCAACTGCAGCAACAGCAGCAGCAGCAGCAGCGGTCTCGCGCAGCTTTGGCGCAGAGCATGAGAGAGTTTGGTGNTAATAAAAACAGCACAATACAAAACAAAATAAAATATACAAAGTATAATGGTATTGTCTCGGGTCTCCGTCTCGTTATAAAGGAAGAGGGCCTCGTAGGCCTCTGGCGAGGCAACGGGGTCAATGCGTTGCGAGCAGCAGTTTGTTATGCAATCAAATTCCCAGCGAACGACATAGCTAAGCGAGCTCTCACAGCCACCAGCAGCAGCAGCAGCAGCAGCAACAGCAGCAGCAGCAGCAGCAGCAGCAGAGGCGGTGGGGGGGGAGCGGATGTTGGCTCTTTGTTGCTTGCTGGGGCCATTGCTGGTTCCTTACAAAAATCTATTTCTTATCCCCTCGATCTTCTCTCCGTTAGGATTGCTGTCGGCATCAATGCAAACCAAATTGGAGTACAGCAACGTGCTGCTGCTGCTGCTCCCGCTGCTGCTGCTGCTCCCGCTGCTGCTACTGCAGCTGCTGCTGATGGTCCTGCTCGCGCTGTTGCCCCTGCTACTGCTGCAACGTCCAGCAGTACCGGCGGCAGCGGTGGAAGCTGCAGCAGTCTCTACACCAGAACTAGCAGCAGTATAAGCGGCCACAGCAGCAGCAGCAGCAGCAGCAACAGCAGCAGCAGGAAGGGTTACAAGGGCTTGGCGGACTGCGCTTATCGTGTGTGGCAGCTCGAGGGTCCTTCGGGTTTTTTTAAGGGTTTTTCTCTCGCTCTCTATTCTGGCGTTCCCTATGTGATGCTGCAGATGGCTTTCTTTGACTTGACGAAGAGGTGCCTATACACCTCAACACATGTTCCACNTATGTGATGCTGCAGATGGCTTTCTTTGACTTGACGAAGAGGTGCCTATACACCTCAACACATGTTCCACCGCTGTCCTCCACCCTCTTCCTATGCCTAGCTAGCTAGTTTGCTAGCTAGCTAGCTGGCTAGGTAGCTAGCTAGCTAGCTGAGCACCAGCAAACAAACTAGCTGCACAACACCCAGTTAGAGACAGAAGGTGTACCCAGCTAGCGTTCCATACACAGACTAGCTAGCCATCTACCGGGCTAGCAATGTTCACGCAAGCTCGTTCGGTGAACAGGGCTAGCCTACTTTGGCTAGCTGAGTGCATTCCAGCTAGCTAGCCACGCAGACAGCAGCTAGCCAGGCAGGATCGGGGGGAGAGGGAGCGAAGCACGATTTGAAGCGTCTCTCTCCGCGGGATGCGATGCTGCTGTTGCTGCTGCTGCGCTAGCTGGTGCCGCAGCTAGTCGTTCGCTGCTGCTGATGAAGATTCCCCTTTACGGTTGCGGCTGCTGCGCTGCCTGTTGCTGCTGCTGCAGGACGTTAGGAGATGCAGCAGAACGCAGACGCGCTGGCGGTTCATGGCCCCGCGTGCTTCTCACCGCAGCCGTTTCAGGTGGGCAATATATGACCCGGAGCAGCAGCAGAAGCAGCAGCAGCACCAGCAGAGGCAGCAACAGCAACAGCACAAAGAGCACGCCCGGCAGCACCAGCAGCCCCCGCAGTAACAGCAGCAGCAGCAGCAGCAGTAGCAGCAGCAGCAGTAACAGCAGCAGCAGTAACAGCAGCAGCAGTAACAGCAGCAGCAGTAACAGCAGCAGCAGTAGCAGTATCAGCAGCAGTAGCAGCAGCGCTAGCAGCAGCAGCAGCAGGAAAGATGTGTGTGTTATGATATATTGGTTTCAGGTAGCGTTGCCAATATGGCTGCGCAGTCTGTTGTGTTTCCCTTCGATACAATTCGCAAGCGGCTGATGAATGACGGGATAGACGGAAGGCCGAAACTGTACAGGTTTGTTCTCTCTTGCGTATATAACTTTTTCTGTTTTATGTATCTCTTTGTTGCTTTCTTTCTTTTTTTCTTTCTTTCTCAGTTTCTTTCTTTGACTCTTCCCTCCTCCCCTTGTTGGTTTCCTTCTTTTCCCTTCTTTCTTCGTCTCCTTTTTTTCTAAGGCTGCTTATTCGTCTTTTTGTTTCTCTGTATCTTTGTCTCTTCGTTTTTTTCTCTTTCTTTCGTCCCTTTTTGGTTACTATTGTTGCAGGGGTTGCTCTACTTTAGGGTTTAGGTTTTAGGTTGTGTTGTGTTGTGTGTGTAATTGCAGTTCTGCATGGCATTGTTTAAAAGAAATGAAACGAAATGAAGGATTTCGTGCTTTCTATTTTGGCATTTGGCCTGCTACTCTACGCAGTCTTCCTGCGGGAGCAATTCAATTTGCTTGTTATGAACTCATGAAGGAGTTCTTCTTGATGCGATCATCATAAAGAACAAACTTATACAACGAGTTTGCGATTTTGTTTCATCTATATTTTATTGTAAAAGACCTGAAATACACTTTTTTTAAGAATTTATTTTGCCTAGCTTTGTTGAAATCGTTAAACCTGCTCGGAGGATCATAACCGAATCCCTTTGACTCTTTTCCTTACTTTCCTCGCAAAGTATAGGATTTTACAGATACAGAGAGGAGAGATCATGGGCTTATGCAGCGCCCTCATCCTTAGTTGAAGAAAAGCGTGAGCTGCAACAGAGTCAAATTACACGCAATAACGTAAATATAGATACAAAGTATATGTATATATATATATATATATATATATATATATATATATATATATATATATATATATATATAT